TCCTGTTGTGTTTGTTGAGTAGTTGGTGGTATTTCTCGAAAGGAATATTCCTGAACAGATTCGCTGGAAAATTGATATTTACCACTAGTGCGAATTTGTGCCAGCTCAAAATTTGGTTAGATCCATCCATTTTATAAGTTTTAATATACCAGTACATAACATGAAATGCATTTATAAATACATCAACTTGAAAACTTAATACGACAAGGCCAGAGCTGGTAAATATCACGGTCGTCATGTGACATTGAAAAAAACAGGTCCTCTCACTATCACGAGACGCAATTACCTATCATTAGCTTTCTTGTCATTTTCCAATGATCAAGCACTCTTGTTATGCGATTTGGACATCAACATTTCTAGCTGATTTAGATTAATTTAAGAAAGCAACCGTATGTAATCGATAGAGTGAATATAATCAGTGTTCACTCGGCTGTCGACAGAAGCAGGCCACTTTTGATGTGTGTCACGCGATCGTCTGTTTACTCAGCAGCAGCCTTTGTGGGGTCCTCCTCATTGTTCTTCATCAGCAGTTCTTTCGGTCGATGCGTCGTCGACTTTGGAAAGCAACCGTTTCGTGATGAGTGTGTGAGTGCTGACCACGTTTTGCGTCCATTGCTTTAATGGAAACGCTTTGCCCCCCGTTGGCGATACTGCCATACAATGAAATCACTGGAAGCGGTTTCCGTTCTGATGGAGCAGAACAGGAATCCTCGGCTCTGTAAAGTTAATTCGATGAGCCTTATCAAATAAATTAATAAAAAAAAGTATCTTTAATAGCACTAAATGAGCTAGTAATTACGATGATCACAACACTGTCACGTTCTGTTATGATAAAAAATTCTATGAGAAAATATCTTTCATCGTTTTCTCATCCGATGATAGCTCGCGTAACATTTGAAAAGGGCTAATCCTCGTTGATTGAGTCTCTTAATCGACTTTCTCTTTGGTTTACCACGGCAACATAAACGAATTTCTCGCTAAGCTCGCAGCACAGTTCGATAGAAGATAATGTTAGCTTGCGCCTGAACCAACACACTGAATGGGCAATTCATTTGTAGTCGGGTTATTCACGAAACAGAAAATCTTTGAAGAGAATCGATCAACAATGACAGGTTCTTTTATCGTGTTGCGCGAGATAGTGACAGAAGTATCTCCGTAAATATCGCGAGGGATCTTTCATTGAAAATGACATTTTCCAGCCCTGAAAAGGGCATCGTTTACTGACTGTTGCCGCGGGTTTTGTAGAGTTTTCAGGTACCCGACTCAAGCTTCAGTTGGCTGCGGTGGCTCTTCTTTTCCTTCTACCACTGAATAGATAGTGCGAATAAGGAAATCTATTTGATGTTTTGCTGTACCTGTTGTGGACATTAGTAAATCCTTTTCCATGTTGAGGACGCCCTGTATTGCCTCAAAAGTTATCCTTTTTAAAGTACTGATCTTCACAACATAATGCGCACCATAACGGATCATTAGATTTGATCAAATTATTCGCAGTTATATTCGTCCAACGCCTCCCAGCTGGGTGAGGGGGAGAGGATGACACACACACTTTGATTAATGAGAACCATGAAGCTAACACACCCAAACTGTGAGCATTTTTCAGAGTGAATCAAAAACACAGCTCGTTGCTGCTCCCAGTAAAAAGTTCTTCGGAATCTTAAAGACACTTCTAGTCGAGGATTCGAGAATTTTCCGACGGAGATTCCTGATGCTCCCGATGGAGGTTCTAGACCTTCCCAGCGGGGTTCCCACAGGTTCCTGAAGGAAATTCAGGAACGTTTGAAATCTCTAACGGAAACTTCAGGAATCCCCTTGGGAACGTCTGGAGTACCAGTTGGAAAGTGCTTGAATTCGAGCTGGAAACGTGTGGATCCTCTGTGTGATAGTGCTGAAATCCTCGTCGGGATCATTCGACATCACTTCGGGAACGTTCGGAGTACCAGCCGGAAATGTGTGGAATCCTCATCGGGAATGGACTGGAAAATCACTTCAGGATCGTCTAGAATTCATGTCGAAAGCATCTAGAATATCGGTTAGTATGGCTTCTAGTTCATCCAGGAACTGCTAGAATCTCCATACAAAAAAAACGTCTGGAATATCCGTCGGTAACGACTGGAATCACTGCTGGAATCCTTGTTAGGAATTTCCATCACTTCTGGAACGTCTGAAGTATCCGTCGAGAAAACTGGTTGAATCTTTACTTTGGGAACATCTGAAGTGCCCGTTAGGAACGACTGGAACCTTCATCGAGAACTACTGGAATCCTCGTCGGGAATGTCCCGATTCACTTTGGAAACGTCTGGAGTACTGGGAAATAATCTTTTTTCGGGAGCTGCTGGAATTCTCGTCGGGAATGTTCGGAATCATTCAGGAACATTTAGAGTACCCGTCGGGAATACCTGGAATCTCCATAGATAGCTGCTGGAATTCTCGTCGGGAATGTCCGGATTCCCTTTGGGAACGTCTGGCGTGCCCGACTATAAATCTCCGTCGTTAACATCTGGATTATCCAACGAAAATGTTTGGTATCTCCGTTGGGAACTGCTGGAACCCCCACCGGAATCGTCTAGAATGCTGGATGGGATCTGCTGAAATTCTCGTCGAATGCCCGGAATCATTTCGGGAATGTCTGGAATCTCCGTCGGGAACATCTGGAATATCCGGTGGTATGTCTGATATTTCCATCTGCAACAGCTGAAATGCTCACCAAGAACGTCTGGAATCTTTGTCGGAATCATCTTAAATCTCCATCGGCAACATATGGGATAGCCGTTAAGAATATGGTTTTTGTTTTTACCTTCACCACTGACCACCTTGCACCAGCTGCTGGGAGAACCATCCATTGTCCAAAATTCAAAAATTGAACGACTACCGTGGGCTGGGCACGTCGTAAGAATGCCCCCGACGACGACCCAGTGAAAATGGTTCTCGAAAGTTACCCAACAGGAACAAGAAGAAGAGGCACGCGGCAGGCAAGTTGGATCGACAAGTAGAACGCGACCTGCGGGCCCTTCTCTTACGTGGCTGTCAACGTGTGGCCATGGATCGAGTACAGTGGAGACGACTTCTTCGGACAGCAGAGGACATCAAGGCCTTAGCCTTGATTGGTAAGGGAAGTATGGTATTTCCTTCTTGGAATCCTCGGTGGGAGTGTTCAGAATCACCTCGGCAAAATAGGAATTACCCGGTGAGAATGTCTGTAATTTCCATCGGAAACCGTCAGGAGTGTCCGGAATCACGTCGGGGACGTCTGATGTACCCATTGGGAACGTCTGGCATCTCTATCAGGAGCAGTAGGATTCATCGTTGGTGATGTTTGGAATTATTTCAGGAACATCTGAAGTATGAGTCGGGAACGAATTAAAGGAACACTTAAAGAAAGTTTGGAGCACCCGTCGGTAACATCTGGAGTTTTCGTCGGAAATGTCCGGAATCAATTAGGGATCGTCTGGAACGTCTGAAATCTTCATAGGAACTTCTGGAATCCTTGTCGGGAATTTCCAGAATTCCTTCGAGAACGTCTGAAGTGCCGATCGGGAACTGCTTGAATCCTTGTTGGAAATGTCCGGAATCGCTTTGGGAACGTCTGGAACACCTGTCGAGAACAAATGGAATCTTTACCAAATGGAACATAGCTTTAAAGCCTCTTTAAGCTATATCAACAATTTCTTTTAGATTTTTACAGAGTGTATGAACCTTATCATTGCACAAATTTAACGCATTCGAATGGTAACGTAACGAGTAGCTCGGTGCAAGCTTGTTAACCCGGAATAACCTGCATACGTTCCAAGAATGCTTGCCAGGCAACACATTTTCCCATCACAACTCATCCATCTTCCTGGTGTCCCTGCGGAAGGTGGTGAACTGCTGCGAATGCATCGTCATAATTTAGCAAACATTGCATTAGCGAAACTGCCAAAGTGCTACAACTAGGTTAGGTACACTCTTCTTCATTCATTTACACGTTTAACTCGAAGCCCGTACCGAGGCACGTACGCTCGGTCTCTAGCTTTCCATTCGCAGTAGTGTGGCAAATCTCCACAAAGCGCAATCTGAGGCAACATCATCCCTCTAAATCACGTAAATCTTTCTTGCGCCACACACCCTATCGTCAACAACAACAACTCGACTACCCACTACAGTCTTTTCAGGTTGTAAACCACTGCAGTGCAGCATTCATCCCGGATGTTTTCTCTCGAATAACCCCACAAGTAGTATGGAGCGAGCTTGTTCTCCTTTACACCCAAAAGAAGAATGTCAGTGCTTCTTCGAAATTCTCGAAACAGAATTGCAGTGATATTTTTTTCAGTGCAATCACATTTTGGGTGCCGTAGCTTTGAAATTCACTTTTGCACTCACAGTAAGCGTTGAAAGTGTACTCGTCATCGCGGAATCACAGCAAGCCATAGAAGCGGTGTCCATGGCTAGCGTCGTAATTGTAATTAATTTAGCAGCGGCACACACATACACTTGAACAACCGATATGCATTGTTTCATCGCGTTGTCATTGCATCCTTGTGGAATCCTTTGTTGCGGATAGTTTGGGTTACATTTGGCATCCCAATAAGGGGTGCGATGGCGAAGTGGTATACATTCAGGCGACAAAGACAAAGACTTCTCAAATGAAAATGCTTCGAAAATTTCTTACGAAGGTCAACGGAGGCGTTTCCATGGAAGCGGAAATAACTAATTTACCGAACACAAAACATCCTTCGATTGCATCCATGCTTCTTTATCAGTGGTAAAAGTGTCACATGTGTCGTTCCTCAAGGTTATTCACCGGGGGTGGGAAGAGAAAGAAAATCACACCAGCTGCTGATGGAAATCAATTGGCGATTCCGGACATGAATTACATTCGTTTCATTGTCTCGGTGTTCACCTCCTTCCCGTTCGTTCATTGGCTGACTGGTCTAACAAGTGTTCTTAATTAAAGCAAATCACTCTTCTTTGTACTTAAATTGATTCTGTCATTTGTCGGCTTACTCCTTTCTTTCCACCAGGTACTGTGGCCCCATGACACTGCTCGGATATCTCTACATAAGGACCTCCCGGGAGCTACGACCCCCCGATGGGCCCCTCTCGATTATGATGTTCGAAGCGAGGGCCGAGGCGAGGAGTAAACAGCTGTAAGTATATAGCAGGGTTCGCTTTCACACAAAGGAACAAAAAATGAATTGAATTCAGGCTAGGACCGGAACCGGAGCTGAAGAAGTAGCACTTTCTTTGAATATTTTATTGACTTGTAAGTGTAAGGATGAGCGCGGGACTTTTCGTGCGTCTATTTCTTCATTGATTGATGGGGGTGTGACATAGAGGGGAATCGATTTTTACCATTTCAATGGCAAATTTAGACAAATATACGGTTTCATAAGAATATTCCGAAGTGACGGGTTCAGAATTGGCGCGGCAAGCCTTTTTACTAATGTTGAATTTTGGTGGAAATTCGTTAACCTCCGCATTGAATGAAGTGTCTGCTGTTCTTAGCGCTCTGTGATTTGTTATAGTGCAACTTTTAACCGGAACTTTTTTAAAATGTAATGTTAAGAGCTCCTAGTGACCTACTGGCGACCGTGTTTGCTCACTGAGTAGAAGACCAATGGTTCAAACCCATGCTCCTTCTAATTTAAGAGTTGAGAGGGTCGCTTCGACTTCTTATAGTTTTCTTGTTGGCGTATGATTACGTCTTTCGGCAACATATTGCGGTGCAATTTAAAAAAAAAAAACCTAAATCGACCGCGTGACGAAAAGTGGTCAGGTTTTGAACACTTATAATTCTATCAATAGCGGATGGATTTCAATTCTAAACAAGCAATCGATTTGAAATTTTTATACGAATTCAAAATTATCACCGACTGCCTGCATAAAGCGCTTTCCCTAACACAGATTTCAAAATCGAATTCCATCCGGTCTCGCCGAATGGTGCCTATTCAATCACCGTGTGTGGTGGTGTCCGGCCGGCATTGGCGTAGCTAGACAATTTATCTGGAGGGGGCCTAGATAACTCTGGAGGGGGCCTAGATAATTTTGGAGTGGGCCTGGCACCCCCATAACCTACGCCAATGCCGGTCGGTCGTCATCAGCAGCAGCAGTTAGGGTGGCCAGCAAACCGGGGAATATCGGGAAATATCCGGGAATTTGGAAAGTAACCGGGAAAACCCGGGAATTCAACGAGACAACCGGGAAAAGTAAATTTACCATACCATAGGAACACATTTTTACCAGAATTTCAGAATAAACCATTAAAACAGAGTGATCCTTTACCAAATGAATGTCTTGCTCTATTTGCTGCATAATTTTCTTGAAATTTCTTATTGTTTTTAGAATTTAATCACTCAGCAATTTTGCAAATTGATTTTCGTCGTTTCAATTTCAGATTTAAGGTGCATGGTCCTCAAAAGAAAATATTGAAGATGCTGGACTTTGGATGCAAATATTTGTAAAAACCGAAACTGAACTATTCTTTTCCGGGGTTTTAATTTTTCGTTGTTCAAAATTCTCATGATATTAACTCCAGAATTAACTTGGAATTCTGCTCTGAATTATCATGGAATTCTTCTGAAATAAACCAGAAAACACTCTGCGTAATAATTACCGTTGAATTCTTTTTGAAATTTACTTGAAATCCCTTCTAAGAATTTAATTGGAAATCCTTTTTAGAATTGCCTTGAACCCATTCGGTGACTTTGATTCTTTTGAAAATCTTTTCGAAAATTTCTTTTAACTCTATTCAAAACAGCGGAAATCTTTCGAAATTTTATCTAGAAACCCTTTGGAGTATTTTAAAGAATTTCTTACTAATTATCAGCAAATTGTTTGCAATCAATTTTGTTGGTGTTCTGTGATGAATTCTTCGCACTAGGGTTGAAATTATTGCCAGAACTCTCTTATAACTCTGTCTCTTGTTGAATTCTGATCATAATTCTCTGGGAATTCTTCTTAAAATTCATGTGTCATTTTCCTCACGATCCCCATACAAATCTTCTCAGAATCACGTAGGAAGTTCACTTAAAGTTTTGTTTTTCACAACAACTTTTGAAATCTTCTAAAATTAAATAATTTAATTTAGAACTTGTATTCTTCTCCACAGAAATCCCTCCAAATTCATCTAACAATTTTTAAGGCCTTCATGTCAGAATAATTCTGGAATTCTTCTCAGAACTTCTCCTTCAAAACCTGTGTGGGAATCCTTCTCAATATTTGTTTGAAATCAACACTTAGAATTATTTTACATTTTACTAAAAATTCCGCAAGATTCTATAGATTGTTCTGTAATTTGTATTTCATCCAAGTCTCAGAGCGTGAGAATTATGACTCCACGACTCATAAGTATGATTTTTTTTTTCAAATCTGTGATCTTGAAATTTTTTCAAAATCTCTCATTTTAATTATTTTTTCTTCAAATCTTGCATCACGATGATTGTTATTAATCATAAATTTTGAAGGAAAGTTCTAGTTTCAGACTCTACACAAATTTCAAAGCTCCAGAATCTTGGGAATCTTCATAAATCATTTTTTTTTATGCATTCAGCACGTTTATAAAAATGCGTTCAATTTAGTTTTTTTATTGAATATTAACAATCGGGAATTTTTTAAAATTTGAACCGGGAAAACCGGGAATTTCAAAATGAAAATTCACTGGCCACCCTGAGCAGCGCTTTCGGTGCGTGGCGTTGAACATTATTCTTCAGTATACAACGAAAGGCTGCCCGCAAGCAGCGAGTTGCAGCCCACATGAGCGTTTATTCACCAAAGAAGGAGGAAGAAGCCGCTCCGCTGCTGATCGGATTCAGTAGCTCTTCGTGAGTCGCTGTGGGCCATCTATGCCAAGCGCGTCACCCTCGTTCCAAACAACATACTGCTCGCCAGCCTCATCCGTGTTGTTGAACACCCTAATAGCACATATTATTAAAATTCCGTGCTTTTTGTGGCGTTTCCGTGATGGAAAAAAAGTGGTTTCCCTAACACAGTCGCCGAATATTGATACCGAGCACGTAATCCTTCGTCAAATATAGGGTCGTGTCTTGGGAGACAACCTCTTACTTTACTTAGTTACTTGCTCGTAGATTCGATAGTTTGCTTCAAATTTACTTCCCAATCGACCATTTGCATCGTTTTAAAAACTTGATCCAAGAAGTGGATCAACTTTTTAATGAGCTATCCATTCCCACAATAATGAACCAAAAAGTCTTCGCAAAACTTCAGCACAGTCAGTGGAACTTGAGAAATATTCCACTCCCTACTCGAATCACCGACCGATTGTTTACCGGATCGAAAGTTGCTCCTGATCGACGGCGGCGACGCTTTCTAAATTAAACACCACGTGCAACCGGATAGCATCGGGCGCAAACAAGCAGCCATCAAAACAAAATTTCCAAAAGATAAACGAGCTTCACCGAACTGCACGCGGCAGTGACTCTATAGGGAGTGAATATGACAGGTAGCGGGGTTCGTTTGCCCTGCACCATTCTCCTTTATTTTTATTTTTCTGACGAAGGTGGCGCCGGCAACGACGACAATATCTCATGGCAAACTTTGATTTCAATTCTGCTGCAAATTTCTTTGCTTTAGTTTTCTTATTGGTGAACTGCCGTTTGCTTTTCTTTTGAGCTTTATGGGAAAAGTTTTCCCTCGTCACTAGTACCGAAAGATCATCCTCAAGGTGGGTAATTGAAATTCATTCCACGTTTTGGGAGTTTATCTCGGCAGTGATTGGATGCGGAAGTTTTGGTCATTTGGCAGCGAGAGAAAGACAAAATGTATAAAGGTGCACTATGATGCCACACGTGGCCTCAATTCGTCGGTTATCTTTATGGTTTCACCGGGGTCGAGGTCGTAAAGACTAGCAAGATTTCCTTTATATGAGGGTGGCATCGGCTGAACCGTCTGTTGCTGATAGGATAAAATGGCCATTTTGCCCGTTCCCGAGTAGAATATGAGACACTATTTCGAAACGTCAGATCATTCTCGGCCATGTAAAACGATCGTTCTGCTCGAGTTTTACAATGTCATCTTAAGTCGCAAATTGTATCTGACGCCACTTTCCCCCAAACCCTCCACCGTGGTCTGTGTTATTTTACCACAAAATATTAACTCCTCCACCCACCAGGGAGGGATTCGATTGACAGTTTTCTGTGTGTGTTACACTGTTAATTCATTTTTCCCTATACAACGTACAATCGCGTAGCCGATAAAAGAAAATATACAACCCATCACAATCGACTCGTCACTCGTTGCTCTCAGTCAGCCAGCACAGGCGATATGCCCTACTTGGTTTCTGTTTGAACACTGATATTATTGGTTAGGGACTGAATTTATCGATCGTTAGGCCGATGGCGGGCTAATAAAATATGGAACACGACGCGCCTCTCTTACCCAGCCGAGCTCGAGAATGGGTGGGAGGTCCAACATGTGTTGGCGACAGCGCAGTCACCGCCTGAATGTGTGTGTGGATATCATCATCGTCGTCGGTGCCAGCCGCATTCGATTGGAAGATGAGCCATATTTTCTTATCTTTATGTGTTCCTGAAAATTTACATATGCGTATGGCAGGTCAATGAAAGGAAAATTGGGTTTTCTCCCTTCGGCCAGCAGGTGGTGTCTTAGTTTTAAAGATGCCCACCATGTTTATGAATCTCGGTAGAACGATATAAAATCTGAACGAAATATCCCGGCTTGAATTGCGCTGAGATTTTCGCCGGCAGCGAATGCATGAAACCGCGTGTGTGTGTGACTGCCGCTGACAGATGTTATTTACGAGAGAAAAATGCAATGACTCGTGAAACACGAGTTGTACTCTTTATGCATAAGCAGAAATATGAAGTCGAAAACAACACCAGCAACAGATGCGTCCACCCCCCTCCCCCCCATTCTCAACCGTTTCAGTACGATAACGCGATTGATAAGTGTTTGTTTGTGTTAGCATCTGGGGTTGTTGGGAAACGTGTTCGGAGCATTCACTGAAGAAAAAGGTTATGTTTTTTTTTGCTGGTTGGCACGACTCGTTGCTTTGCGGGAAGCAATGATTTATGTGTTTTCGGTACGCAAATGGAAATGACAAGCCACGAGCGAGCCGTGGGAATCATTCGTTTTTTGCCCTATCACTCATTGGAGAATACTCAGCGCACAT